AAAGCCACCACCGCGACAACGAGATCGTCATTAACTTCTCATCAGCAGGAGAACAATTATCATCAACTGATCATCCCACATTCGTTCTTAGAGGTATCCATGTATCGCCCAGGGCCCACCCTCCAGGCTTCCCTCCAGCTGGAGCCCGACGACTCGAACTACGCGAACTCGAGTCACGTGCGGCGACCACCCAGGTGGGATGAACTCTTGGGAGTAGCACAAAACGCTTCGGGAGCCATGACACGCACCGCTCGTGAGACCTACAGGTTGGAATTCAGGCCTGGTTTCGCTTGGACCATCTAAAACTGACATCAGGAATGTTAGGAAGAACACTTTTGCGCGTGAGGAGGCACAATCGGTGGGGTTGGGTGAGAGCATAACCAAGAAGGTCGCGGTTTGGGTTTCCTCCGACCTGTTCATAACAGGCATCAAAAGCGACTATGTTCTTGTATATTTGCGATATTTGCACTATACGGACATCTTGATGGAATTCCCAGGCCCTTAGCCATCATTATGCCTGTCTTCTCCAAAGTAGTTCTGTTTGACGGTCATTCCTATTTCGCAACGCTTCGTTCTGGGTCCGATTCTGACTCTCGGCGTCAACCGGATCCCCGCCCGCGCCCTGCTCTTTTCGCGCGCGCAGGCTGTGTAGCGAAGAGCTGCAGCGCTTGGACGAGCTCCTGCCGGCGCTCACGCGGGAGGAAGTGGGCGCCGTGCCAGGGCGATGTTGTGCAGGCTGTGCAGGGTCGATGTGGGTCGATTTCATGTAATAACGGGAGAAGTGCAGTTCGGTGCAGTTTGGATTACAATCTATCCATGCACCGATTACAAGTGCAGTTTGGGAGAAGGGAGAAGAGTGCTTCTTCGGATTAATAAAACGTGATTTTCCGATGAAGCGTTCGTTGTTTGAATGCCAGGTAGGGCTTGACTTCACGCTTCTGGGTTTGTCCCCAGAACGTCGTGAGTTGGTATGTCCAATTGGGGGTGGTGGCACCGGTGGCACCTGGACTGGCTGGAGGAAGTACCAACCAACTTTCTGCGCTCCATGAGACTGAGGTCCTCATCTTTTGATGAAAAGCAGAGATACAGCATGATACAGCCCATATTATGTTTCTGGGGGTCGAAGACTACATTTTTCTTGAACTACAGGTGTGTTAATTTAAAGCACAAACTTGTACTTGCCCATTCATGCAGGACTCCAGCGTGGACTCGACGAAGCGTTTACTCGGGCCCGGCGGCTTTGGGGGTCGCCAAGCCGAGCTGGAGATCGGTTGGATCGGTTCGTTGGCTGAAGACACTTCAAGAGTCCCAAGAGCCACATGTGAAGTGAGTAGCTGGGAGTCGCTGTCGTTCAGGGACTGGGGAAGGTCCACTTAAGCGTGGGGGGCTTGCCTGAGACCCCATGAGTGCATGAGATTTGCCATACGAAAACTAAAGGACTTGAGCCATCAAATTTGTGAAGACTTTGTTAATAATGCCAGTGATTAGGACGATTGTGCCAGAGTTGTGTATATTTTGGGTTGGTTGTCCGGAGACCGTAGTAGCAGCGTTTGAGTTGATCCTCTTGCTTGCTCTCAAAGTTCTTCAAATTTTGAACCGAACGTTTCACATTGTTCCATGTTCCATGCAGCTTTGTTGGGGCATTGAGTTTTTCCCTCCAAGAGTTCCCTCCAAACAGCCTCCCCATGCTGAGAGCGGAGTAACGATCCGAGGGGAAGTCATCGAAGATCTCAGATCCAACTGGGCAGATGCGAGTCTTCCGTTGTTGCAAACGAATTCCTTGTAGCCACACCACACCAGGTTGTCTTGCCAGGTTACGAACCCTTGCCCAAAACCAGGAATATAGGCGGCCAGGCTTTCCCCCTCTCTTCACTTTGGATATTCGCACATGAGACCACTGGTTAACTCAGTGTTTTTCTCCGTTTCAGGTGGAAGACTTCTTCATTCACAGATGTAAAACGAAATCAACAGTCTATTGTTGCGACTCACGACTGTTCGTGTGTTTTTCATTCCAACCAGGTTTCAAGTCAACCTATTCCTTTGCACTATGGAACTGTTTCAAGTCCAAAAGAACCATCCCTGGTCTTTTCACTTCTACCGCTGACGTCGGGGTCCCGCGACGACTTCCGTCACGCCACGGCGGAGGGCCAACGGACGGGACGGGACGTTTCACGCCGTCCAGGCGCGCGCTGGGGAGGAAATTCCAGAACCTCACCCAGGCGGGACTGAAGTCCTCGTCGACTGCCGAAGTCGGTTTGAGAAGCGGGGGCGAAGCAAGCGGGTGTTGGTCCGGCAGAGAGTTCGGAGCGATAGGAAGGCGCGCTTTGTGGATTTGGGAGGGTGTATTCAGGTGTATTCAATAGTATTGTCTTGGAGTGGGATACGATATGTTGTTCTTGAGTGTTTGATGACCTGTACTCAGGATCCATCTTACTCCAAGTCATCATATGCTGGTGTTTGTTGATTGTTGCTGGACAGCACTCAAAAGAAGACTATTGACGTGGAGTTTCTTGACCATAGCGAGTCACACTGGTGGAAGGTGTTAGTTCTTTTGCATCCCAGGAAGGTGTCAGCTTCGAAGCTCAGTGTGGAGGTTGAAGCTTGGGGCTTTGTGAACCAGAAATGCGTGCTGCCATGACAGCCGCAGTGCAATGACCGGCGATGACCGGAGCTCCCGAGGCGATCAGGTGAACCCCCATGGGAATCGGAGGGAGAAGTGTGTTCAGTTTTGTTTTCGACGTTGCTCAAACAGACTACAAGGTTCGCTATTTGGGGCTGTTTTGGCCTTACTACTAGGAGCAATGTTCGCTACTAGTAACCAAGGGCATCGCTACCAACGGTGCAAGGACGCTACGAACGTAGCTCCTGGCATTACTACTATAGGAACAAGAAGCTACTAGGGCTCCTGGCATCGCTACTAAGTAGGAGCAAGGACGTATATATAGATAGATTCAGATAGTTCAATAGAGCCGGTGCTTTCGCCAGCTACCAAACCTAGGGGACCCGTTGTGTTCGGAACGAAAAACACCCGCTAAGCCTCCCTTGTTGATTCTTAGCAAATGAGGGCTTTTCCATTTATAAGACATTTGATTCATACCGATGGTATCCGATGGTAGAAACGGCGCTTCAAACGAAGCTGCGAAGTTGATGGCGTGACCTCACGGCGCTGAAGCCTCGACGGTCGTGACGGTCAGGTGGCCTCATTGAAGCGGCGAGCTGTCAGGTGAGAACTTGTTCGGTGGCTCTCGGTGGGACGTGATCCGATGTTCTCCAAGTAACCTCGTTTTACTGTACTGAATGAGTTAAAAGCCACAACTCGTGGACTATATTGTGGGACCTGTAATACCCTATATGATCCTATATATATATATAGGTATCAATAATTGATTCAAAGCTGATACTGATTCACGATGCATTTGGCTGATAAATAATCATACGGTTACTATATTCTACTCATCCCAGAGTCCCGGCATGATCTAACAGTCTAACAAGTTGCATGAGAAGATAATTGACCGAAACACACCCAACAACTTCCAATGCAATAGTGGAGTACAAACGATGCATATGAAATCACTTCATTCAGGTTTTAGCAGTCTCACAATTGCCTCTCAAGATGAGAGGTTTTTAGATTAGCTCCGCCCCAGAAATTGTGGCAAAAAGAGAGTCCTGAGGTCCTGACTTCCAGTGCTTGACTGGGTAAAGCGGGTGTTCTTGGGGAGAGTGACCGAACCGGTCAAACAGTTTTGGACCGAAAGACAAAAGCAAGGTGAACAGAGACCCAACCCATGAAAAGGGGTGGTGAGATCAGAGACCCCTTGAATGCTCTGAGATGCTTCTTTTAAAGCAGAGGTTCTAACTGAGGGACAGCTGATGGAGAAAAGCTGAAACCTTGTGAAGATGCAGCAGATGAGTTCAACATTTATATTTATCAACATGATCAACATATCATTGTTGACAGTCTTGCCAAAAAAGACGAGACACCAAGGCCGCACATGCGACACGTAGCAATTTCTGGAGGTTTGGGGGACCCGGGTCCCAAGAATTTCCATTCGGATAACCTGGAAGTATCACCCGAAGAGTCCATCCCCTTTGCCCCAGCAATTCCCTAATCTGAAAAACATGACCTGCATATAAAGAGGAGCTTAAGACACCTTCAAACCACATCACCTACTGCCGGACGTTCCGGTCGGAAAAGAAACGGCACGGAGGCTTGAAGAGCCACTTCTCCTTTGGCATGCGCGTTCCTCCTCACCCTTCTAAAGCCATGAAAGATCATGAAAAAGCAAAAGGTTTGATGGGCCCAATTGGAGATCGGAGGTTGGATGAGGTTGGATGATTTTGGGACGGCCGTTGGAACGCTGTTGGCACGGCCAAACACGTCGCCGACGGTGGAGAATCTGTCAGAATCAGACTTCTCAGCTCCTGCTGCAGTGAAGTCATGTATCGGTGCGATACACCTGACACAGTACCTGACACCTGGAAATATGATCTTGCTGCTGCAGTGTGTACTGTAGCTTGGTTGCCAGCTTTGTATCAGGCAGATTTGGCAGAAGTGTGTCACTTCTGTTTGGAATCAGCATGGCAGAATAAGATTTCTGGAAGCTGGAGAACGTGTGACACACACACACACACACGTGCTCTGCACTAGCAGACTGACAGGCCACAGTGTCACAGAATAGAAAGCCCCTATGGTGCTTGTGTGCTTGATGGCGGTTTGCGGCTAACCATTAGCCGTAGACTGGACTGTCAAGAGATGTCAAGAGTCTAAACGTGTCTATATTACTGTGGTGGGGAAATTGAGCATTTGTCCCAGCCAGGATTTTGCCTGAACGAGCTTTCCCCTCGAATCCATCCCAGTCGCTCACTTAGGTCGCAGGTCGTCCTAGCAATGAATCAACCAGGTGATGCAGGTACGGAGCATGCTTCTGGCCTTTTCGTCGGCGTTTTCGAGCGTTGTTTCGTCGTTTCGATCGTCGGCCGCACCGCAACGGGAGCCGAACAGAGCCGTCGGCTCAGTGGCCCACGTCGGCCGCCCGGAGTAGCGGCGGTACTCGGCGGCAGCGCGTGGCGAAGAAGCCGTCCGCCATGCAGTCCTCGCACGCGCTGGCTGTGGACGTTCCATGGCGGGAAAGTGCCCGGTAGGCTGGGAGGTCGGTAGGACCGAGGCACCTCTACGTGGGCAGGGCAGGTGGAAATAGGAGGGCAAGCAGGTTTCAATGGTGAAGGCATATGAAAAGTCTGAAAGAGATGGTGACCGTTGCAGAATTTTGCAGAGTTACGTTTCACAGTTTTTCACAGATCTCGAATCTCAAGGAAGGAAGGTGTGCAAAGGTGGGCCATGCATTCACCCATCAGTCTTCCGTTGTCCCACCCTTTTAGTGGTGCTATCTGCCTTTCTCAGCAGCTCAGGCCACTGTTTCGTCTCCTGGAAATGACAGCAGTGTGGACATCAGTGTCGAGAGCATCGAGGAGCCTCCTCAGCCACTGGGTCAGCGCATTTGTTTCCTCTGCAGCGTACCCACCGCTGTTGTCACACGTCGCCGTTTCCGTGTTTTCGTTCCCAGCTTTGGAACAGAGTAGCATGTTTCATTCGATAAACACATTAAAAGTCATGTGAATTGAAGAACCAAAAGGACACCCTTTTGGGGCACCGGTTTCGACTCCAGGCCAGGTTGCTTTAACAGCTGTCCCGAGGCCCCGCGACCTGATCGGGGAAGTGACCGAGTGGGTCACCAACATGACGCTCGTAGTGTGGAGAGTGGGGCTGCGGGAGAGTGAGCCATCCGGGCTTGCCGACAAGGTCGACCATGCTAATTTACTTATTGTTTCTAATTGCTTCTTGTTACTACTAGTAAGGCACTTGTTCCTAGTAGCGATGCCCTTTTGCTCCTAGTAGCGTCCTTTGTTCCTTAGGGAAGAAAGAACATATTGATGTCTATGGAGCGTTTCAAGCAAACCCATTGAAAAAACATTGAGGTTGCCTTAATGAATATAATCAATTATCCTTAATTAAATAAGCAACGCAACGCTGTATTGATTTGGTGGATTGAATATAGAATTTGAGGTTGACCTGTTGTGTTTGTTCCACATGCGCTTAGGACTGGGGCTCCTCAAAAACGCGATAAAGTCATGTAAATTCCACTCATGTCCATCCATGTCTTGATTGAGACATCACCATAACAAGAAAACTATGTAACAGATATATGCAATGACTTTCTTTTAGATTTGATGAGACTTGCCAGACCATTCGAGACCAACCAGGCATCACCCGTACCATCGGCCGTACGTTCTTCGTACCACGCCGGTGGCGCCGCCGCCCTTCCCGGAGCTCCGCTTTGACAGGGGTCCGGTCTGATCCGTTTTTGGGGATCACTCGCTTGGAACGTTTTGGAGAATCCAAGCGATATATACCACAAAACCCTTACACTCCCTGGAATCGAAGTGGCAATTTTCCACTTCCATGATTATTCCTAGGAGTGTAAGCCCTAAACTCCAGATCTTTGATACGTTTGATATCACGTCCCCGGCCATAGATCCTCTCTTTGCAACCTGCCGTGTTCTGACTCCAACCATTCACCCATGCGCGATCAGAGGGCGACTTCGCTAGGCAAGTGGTGCGGCCGGAACTGGTCCGGGCCATTTCGTGCCATGTAGCTCTGAGGCAGTTCGGGCCACTTGGCGTCGCAGTTGGCGTCGTGCGGCAGGAAAATCCGTTTTTTTGAGAGTTCTATGTCTCGGTCGCCTGGGAAGGCCCTCACCGTCGTTTTGGTACTCACCTCACTGCTGTTTCTCCGGGGGAAGACCCTTAAAAACCTGGGTTGGACCTGGGTGTTTGCTGAACATCCACGGACTTGACTCTGCAGGGTCACCATCCGGATATGAATCATATGATATTATTCCATCGTATCCATGATATTTGAGAGGACTACTGCAATTGACCACAAAGCGGAGCTCCTCAAACTAGACCGAAACGTAGAGATCACGTCTCTCCATTTTGCCGCCAGAATCCATGTTCCTCCCAGGTACGCTTTCCGAAAAAAGACCGCGGCCGACAAGGCACGGTTCTTCGCCCAGAGCCGCGCCGCCGAGCATTTGGATGAGTTCTGGTCGTGGCTCGTTGAAGTGGCTCGGGATTTGGCCCCGGCGGGGGGTGACTTTCTTTTTTCAGGGCCCCTGCAAGACTGCTCGCCCACTTTGCAAATGAGAGCCCGCTGCAAGTGTCAATGCCAAATCGGGGTGTTTCAGCATGTTTCTGCATGTAGAGCACATGGTGATAGATTTCAGGTGAGTCCATGCCCTCAAGGCTCTTGGTTCAGTTTTCCATTTGGTGATGCTAGGCTTCAGGGTTTTGTGCGCATTTGCTCATCCATCTGATTCGATCCATCTCTTTTCCGCGGACATGCGCTGTTCCAACATCTGAGACAGCTGACTCAAGGGGACATGCAAAGGGAATGAAACACAGGGGTTTCCAGTGCGCCGGCGCGGTAACAAAGACCAATTGAAAATAAAACACGTTGGTTGATGTCAATGATTCCCTTGTTCCACAGGGGTTCACTGGGTAGTTTTTTTTGTAACCAGAGTCCCATGTGCCACATAAGTCATCTACTTGGTGAGGGTACTTTCAGGTTTCATTGTGAAGCTTCTTTTTCCCAAAGGTCAATTTGGTGCTGGCAGTTATACATCTCTACCCAGGTTGCACGACTAGTCTGCGGCTTGGACGCATGTCCGGCATGTCCGGGCAAAATCTTTCAATTGATATTGTTAAGCTGGACATGACTGAAAGATATCAATATTGAAGGGTGTGTATTGTTAAGCTCACCCTCAGCTGTCAATTGTCACAGGGTGTGTATGATCTTCTCAGCTCAGCTCCTATCACCTGGCTGAGGCATTCTTGGCAGCTGTCGGCTTGGAGAAAGATCCTTGGACATCCAAACCCATCGCGGCGATGCCAACACGATGACTGGTTGGTTGGACTGGTCCGTCTCGCATGGACTGGCGAGACATGTCGAGGCGTGTCGAGGCATGTCAAGAAACGAGAAAGCTCGTTTTGAGGATATTCATAAACATACCAAGCCATTCATGCTTATGTTCAACATCTGAAATCCCAGATTGTACACCAAGATTTGATGCCCGGTGTTTCTCTTCCAGCCTTATGCAGTGTTTGGTGGCCCACATGATCATCAGCAATACTTACAGTATGTGGTGTATCACCTCGAGCCACCTGCTTTTCAGAATATGATGTATGCCACCGGAAAGTCAGAGTAAAATGCAATGGGCAAGTTCAGTCACACTCATCCCGCCGCCAGAGCCCGCTGGATTGGGGCTGTGACAAGAGGCGCCAAGCTCTTTATCCCTCATTGGTCGCAACCCCCGCAACAGACCCGCTATAGTGCCGGCACGGTCCCACGGTCCTCACGTAAACGAGTCGGCACTCATCGTGCGGTTTGGTGACCGAACGGTCCTTCGTTCGTTGTTTCACTTCGTACGACACGAACGCCATGGCGACTGGGTCCATGCGCCTGGTCCGGCCCTGTGGGCCTAATCTGCTGGGCCCATCCAATGGGAGATCCGGGATGGACAGATGCCTGTGACTTTATCAGATCAATGGGACCTTGACGTTTCGATCAGAGCTTTGTCGACCGAACTCGGTGACCACTGAACTTAACTCGACAGACAAGTTCCGTGGATCCACATGTCTTGAGACTCAACAGCTATGGGGAAAGCGTATCTTCCTGGGCCCTGAGAAATCTCTGAATTTGCAATCCACGGAAAGGCGCCGGAGATGGCGCTTTTCCGAAGGCTTTCCATGGATTTTGACCTCCAAAGCTCTCAGTTCCAAGGATTCTGAGTCTGATGTTTCTCAAGAATGGTTTGGCAGCCGCAACGATCGGTCTCTTGCTGGAGAAGGGTCGGAGATCGGCACAAATTGTGCAACCACAATGACCATCAAACATCAAACCGCCCTGGACATCCCTGGAGTACCTTTTCTTTTGGTCAAAAAATCACTTGAGCTGAGCTGAGTGTTATTTTTTGTAAATGAAAGGACTTATAGAGGTTGACCTGTGTTTTGTTCGCATAAGCATATTCGCTTTGCGGGCGTAGGCCTGCGTAGGCTTGTACCGGCTTGGCTTCTTGCGTAGGTACCCCTTTTCGTAAAGTCAGGTAATGAGACACAATCACAAGGGGACTGAGGCAAAATGTTTGGAGTATATACCGTCATGCACCTGAAGATCAACTTGGAAACATGATTCTCGGGATAATCTACGGTATCTACTTATATACTTCCAAAATAATTGGGAAGGGTGTGACTTGGATCATGCTCTCAGTACTCTCGAGATGTTTCTTTTTTTCAGATCTTCAAATGAAACAGTATGGATATGCCATCATATGGCCAGGAAGGGTGTGGGCATCACCTGGCTGTTGAAAGTGACCTCAAAAGAGGGTGCCCCCTTCGTCGTTGAAAGAGACCGGTCACCACTTCTTCTAATTTTCGGTCACGTCCCGAAGCTGCGTCAAGAGTCAGAAGATGTCAGAAGTCTTGCGAGTCTTGCACTTCCTCTAGAGACCCCTTATATATTTCAGCGCAAACCGTTCACCGGACGGTTCGACGGTCGATGGCTCACCGAGGGACCGGCAGGTCGTACCAGGTATCCGACCGACTCACCGTGGCCTCTCTGTCATGGCGCCAACCACCGACTCGCTCGGAACCAGCGTCTCTGTCTGCCGGTCGGTGACGCGAGGTTCGCTCTTCTCGTTGCTGGGTTTTACGTTGTCCATGTTGCAAATCCTCCCGTCGACGTTTGGCCACTTGGTCCAAGCACTGGGCGGCGGCGGGAAAATGGAACGCCGGCCGGACGGCAGACCAATCCAGAAATCGTGGTGAATGACAGTGCGTTTGCCTCACATGTTGAGGGGTGAGCCAAATTTTCATGTGAATGTTAAGATGGCTGTATAAATAGGACATTTAGTTGTTTCATGTTGTTTCTTGGGTTCAAACTTGGAGTTGATGATGGATGGGATGGTGGACAACAAACACTAGTACATAGAGTAATCCAGGCTCCGACATCCTTTAAACGAACACGTTTACGTTTTGATCATTCCTCAAGTATGAAGGCCTCCATGACAAAGGATGCGTAGCGGTACCAGGCAAGACTTCTGCACCTGATGGGCAAGGCAGTTCGTTCTTTTGAGTCTATGTCTGTGTGTGCGACCACTGGATCAAAGTACGTTGCCGACCAAAATCAAGACCACCGCCTTGGGGCTTGGGGCTTTCCTTGGCCTTTCCTTTTCGCATGGATCACTGTTCTCCGTCAGGCTTTGGCGGCAAAGTCTCCTTTTGGAGCACTCTCTTCGGAGTCTCGGCGTGTTCCATTTTCCCCATGGCGCTTCAGTGGATTCAGAGGGACAGACTGTTTGGGGAAGTGCCTATCCCCTCAGCTCGGTATATGATAGAGTGATATAGAGTGTACGAATTGTGGTGCCTTGGATTTCTATCTTTTTTCAGATTTTGGGGTAGACGCAATAGGGACACACAATGCTTTTAGGCGTGGGGCGGAGAAAAGGAGACCCTATGGTTCCCCCAATCACTTGGCCCGGTGCATTTGGAACCCCAAAAGGGTGAAAGCTGCAACTGACCAGTCATGACCAGGCCATTCCGATGCGGCATCAGGACTCTTGGCCTTTTTCGGCAGCTTGTTCTTCTGGCGCAAGCCGTTCAAGCCGGACACTTGGTTTCAACGTCAGTATCTTTGGGAACTACGGTTACCTGTATGTGAAAGGAAGAAGACATCACACCCTTTGAGATGGGCAACTGTTGCCATTTGCCGTGAACACATGAACTTCACTCACTTGGTAGCTGAGGAGCGCGTCTTCCTGGATGTTTGCTGCATCAACCAGTTGGATAACCGTGAGAAATCCGAAGGCCCAGAACTCATTTGCTAGGTCTAACAAAGCAAATCCAGATTATCATCGACATGCCAGAGCATTTGGGTGATTCTTTCCAGTGTGTGAGGTTCACTCGAAACAACCGAAGAGTTTGCGAACTCACTCGCTGATCAGTTCACCAATTCACTCATTAATTCATTATGAGTCACGACATAGCACTATACGATTCATGGTATTGGTACTGGTTCGCTAATGATTCTCTTTGAGGTTCTGGTTGTCTCCCAGAACCATCATCTTCTTGTCGCGGCTGGCGCGCCATCCGAAGGCATTTTGAGCTTGGGCGGCATCTTGCGGAACTCCCGACGAATGCTGGTGCTGTGGGATGCCACCTATATCGACCCTCGGCCGGGACGCGTGATGAGTCAGAGCGCGGACCTTCACCGGAGTGGGTAACAACTGCTGGCTGCTGAAGCGCCACCAATTCCACTCTGAACACAAGGTGTGGCTCTGAGGTGAACTGCCGCAATCACCTGACAACTCCAACCTGAAAAGCACCTGAACTAGCGAAGACCCTTGCTGACTCACACTGTCTAAGTGGGTGTGTTTTTCACAAAGCTTTGCTATTACAAGAGCCACCATTTGGCCCCCCTTCAGCACAGGGTGGACAGTAGTCGACCTGGATTCCTGTTGGCGGTTTGGCGATTTGTTTTATGATGTTTTATGTGTTGGTCCTTATTTCATGGTCAACGTCATTTAACAGCATTCAGGATGCTACAAGCAGTCTAAATCTTCCATTTGGGGCTCAGTGACCGACTGTTTTGGGGCTCCGTTTCAGGGTTTCAACTTCAACCGGCGGCGCGTTTCGGGGGACGGGAACGACGGAAATGTCACGCACTCCACGGACGGCGGATGGGTGTTTTTTTTTTTTGGGGGGGGGGGTGTGTTTTGAAGTTGGTGAGACGGAAGATCAATGACGGTATGATTTCTAAGAGTTTCTCAAGTACTCAGGCATGAGGCTGACGAATTATGCTTATATACATTTCATGACATGTGTCACTTGGATCATATTATGCAATCAGATTATTATACAATCATATAAAACATGTCCATAGAAATGTCCTGCACGGTCAACATAAACTCAAGATATGCTTCCTCAACAGAACCATATATTTGTTTTTTTTCGCCCTGGTTTGAACTGTTTGAACCATGTTTTTTTCGTTCGTCTCTTCGAGCGCCGCGTGACAGATGGTCGAAAGGAGCGGCTTTGGTGCGTCTTCGAGCTGGCAGCCTTCATCAGGTCTCGTCCTCCTGAAGAGGCCCCTGAGGCGGAACCCACCCGGTGCGTCTTCGGTTTCTTTTCCACCAGGCCTTCAAGATGGGTGTTCACTGAGGAAGGCTAGTGGAAGTGCTAGTGGATTATTAATGGATTGTTCATAATCCAATGGGTTTCATATTTTTCTATCCGGAATTGCCTTTGGTCCCATTGGCAGAGACTGGCAGAGACTGACAGCTGCAAGGGTTTTTGATGCTCGTTCTTCAGGTGTTATCTCGGTTCCATTTTGAGACGAATATTAATACGTACCAAACACATGTTCGTTCTTCCGCTGGATGCTCAGGGATCATTATACCTAGAACATCGGGCTAGAATGTTTGCCAATCATGGGTAAAAGCCAGTAAAGGCGCCTTTGCCCTTAGAACGGTCGTGTTTTGCAACAATGCGCGGAAAGAAGTTCTGCCTAATTGAGCAGACATTGCCTAACAAGGATTCTTCCTTTTGAAATCTGCAACTTTTGCTTTTTGCAACATCTTAACAACTGCAACATGGTGCATTTGCCCGCAGGATTCTTGGCTGGCCTTCTTCTTGTATCCTGATATACCCTTAGCCTCGTACCCCAGCCTTCCGACGAATCCAAGCTCTCAGTCTCCCCGTCAGACGCACTGAATCAGGTCCAGATCCGGCCCACCTTGCTGGGCACCTGCGCGCTGGCCGTGATCTTCGGGGTCACCAGTATCGCCGCGGATCTCAGGATTCGAGTCCGGTCACGGGACTGGGACCTTTTGGAGGAGAAGACAAGTGGTGTTTTTGGGTGTTTTTTAAGGAACCAGTTTCATATAGTTTCATGTTATGGTGTTTTCTTCCCCCTACTACCTGGAGAGGGATTAGCTTGACCGGAAAGCAGCCCTACTCCGGTGACGTCCGACGTCCGACGTCCGGTGTCCCGGCGCCGGCGAGAAGAAGATGCTGATTGACTTAGGGACGCTTTCGGAAGTGAAGGTCGTTGTTTCGTTCCATCAATTCTTTGGCGAAACGGATTGGCGAAAAGACCAGGCAAGGTATCTGAGAATGCTTCCACTTGGGTTTGTGATATCCGAAAGTTGCGATTGGCGAAGCCCCTATGTTTGGCAAAATGAGAGAGACTGGCAGTTGGTCCGGACTCCGATACGCTGGTGAACTGTCAGAAAACAGTTAAAACTTGACTTAATGTTAAAGATCTTCAGATTTTCTATTAGTTATATTTAAGATATTTGCATATATTTGCCTATTTCACCACCTGTTATTACTATTTGGGACACCTAGTCACCTAGTCACTAGTTCTACCAACGCATCAACATCGATGGGTAAATCAGTGCGCCCAGGTCGTTTGCCTGGCGACCTTGATTTCTCACCAACAACAGGCCCTGTCCTATTTGATTGTGATCAGTGCAGCCTGGCTGGGAACTTGGGCAACTTTTGCTGGGAACTTCGGCACGTTGCTGCAAAAACAACAATAAACAAAAAGCGGTTCCCAGTGCAAGCGACAAGCCGGCAGTAGGATGAATGTAGTAAGCAAGTAAACCTTGGGGGTGGCTACTACCCTAGCTGCAATATTTGTAACAATGGTGGAAACGAATACGCTTGACTATCGCGATGTTAGGCCGATGCTGGTCTACCATGATCAGACCGGCACGCGTCGCACCTTCCGTTGGGCGGAAGACCCCGAGCCGGGTGTCCAGGTTTCCAAGCGCCATCCGAGCCATGATGCAGTGATGCATGATTCCACCATCAGACATTTTACATACTGTATGAACCTTTATTGTAGATATCTCCGTCGTATTAAAATAATAGTCATAACACCATCCATCATACGTATTCCATATATGATGGATGTCCTTTGATCATTGGGCCCTATATATGGCACGCCACCACAACAATAAAACAACTCATTGGGAACAGCATATAGATATATGGAACGTTCAACCAGAAAGTGTTTCTGCACATGCCGTGTTGCGAGGTCTTGTTACTGCTGATCCTTTACCCGGCTGCTGCCACCTTCCGTGGCTACTTCCACTCTGTGGACACGCTTTGCCGCTCGATGTGCGTGGCAAATGGGCCGAAATTGGGACCTGACCCTACACAGGAGCACCACTTGGGGAGCGTTCTTCGCAAGATATATGAGAACAGCGCAGACCTGCGCAGACTTTTCAGAGAAAGTTTGTTTGTGCTTAAAGAACTAAAAGTAAAGATTTGTAAACACCCCATGAACTGGCTTTGCTAGGATCCCAGGAGTGGACCTTCTTGTGGCTGCCATGCATAGGACTGGATCAAAGAGTTTTGCCAAGTACCAACACAGATGCAATCCAAACCGAAATACTTCAACAGTGTGGTGTAGACTCCAGGATGGTTCTACACAACTCTGGAATCTACATGTTGGATGTGTTGACTTGGCGGCATCATGTTTCTATTGTTGTTTTTTCTTTGCTTTGTACGCAAGCAGTGAATTGTTTGTGGGGACAAATAGAAAAGATCGTGGCCGTGGTTGGATCATGTTGAATCCCCCCGGACTCGCATGGCGCCCAAGAACTCAACGCCCGCAGTGCACAAACGTGAGTTCAGGCGAAGAAAACATATATATATATTATATATAGCGATCGTTCAACATTTGCCAGATGTTTCGAGGCAAGAGGCACCTGGGGTTAGATTTCCCGGACTTGCGATTTCCCGGACTCGCAGCACCACCAAAATGGACAGGAAAATGTAAGATATCTCCGATATCCCGTAGGTTTGGTGGGTCCCCAAATGTCCCAAACCTCTCAAAAACCCTTCTGAACTATTTCAGATCATTTCATAGCATGTGACGGTCTTGATCAGGTTTTCGTGTGAGATACCCTGAGGCGATCAGATGAGCAAGTTCCACCTTCAAGAGACCAAGTGTGCATGCTGCGTTCAGGGTCACGACGAAAGTACCCCCGTGTGCGACCGAGACATTGTCACACGCTGCATCCGTGCATGGCCGCTGGGTAGACCAAGACGGGAGAGGGACTGTGAACGTCCCTGGTGGTTGAAATCTGTTTACCTCCCGGTTCGCACGGTTTTGTGGAACAGGGTCATGTTCCATTGACTTCAGGATCGTGGTGGTGGTTGAATTCTTCAAATATGGACCTTTGATCGTGGCTATGAGCCATGTGGTTTTCGGAGGATACCTGCAAGGTGTCCCCTATAGGTGGTTCACGCAGGGACGTGAATGGATCCGTGGAGGTCGACTAAAGGGTCCAAGACTAAAAGCCAACAAACTGTGCGGGACCTTTGGCCATTCAAGTGGATAGCTTAGTCACTGATTTCTGTCGAGACCGTTCTTGGTCAGTGGCAGAAGGTAATTGTTTTCTCACAGTGTTTTGCGATTGGTTCTTATCAAACTACAGGGTGCTACTGATACATGTTCCTAATGAGACAATGATTCGTGATGCAAAAGGCCACGCCTCCAGTTTCCTTGTTCAGAGAACCATCGCTCCCGCCACGCGAGACGCGAGCGACGAGACGCGAGCGCGCGACCCGCGAAGCTCGCGAGCGACTGAGGTTTGGGGATGAGGCGAGCTTTGAAAAGCAGATGCAGGTCACGGTCTCTGCCTCTGTGGCGGAACATTTGGGGGAGCATCTTTTTCCGTGCCTCGGTGACGATCACAGGTCAACAGCAGATGTGAGGATGAAAGGCAGGTTCCGAAAGTCAGATTCGGTGAGAATCAACAGGGGAAGACAGGTCTGTCTTCGCCCGCAACAACCTTGATAGCACATCCAAGTGGAGGTCGTGCCAGTTCTAGGTCCCTTGATATGCGCCACATACGTTTCTTTCACCCACCCATCGAGCCGCTCATCGCAAGGTATTGGCTGCTCTTGGTGGCCTCAGTGCCTTTCATGTGGGCGACTTGGCTCTTGTGGGTGACGCTGGGGCGAATTCTCTGCCTTCGGTCTGGTGGGATTGGAGAATCGAAGTGATGTGCCTTGTTTCTACTAGCTTCTTGTTACTACTAGTAAGGCACCTGTTACTACTAGCGTGGCACTTGTTACTATTGCTTCCGGGGGTTAGAACCGGGTGATTGCGGTCCATCGCGCAAGTGTTGCGTTGCACGATCATGACTGCCGCAGACTCCCTATTCCTGTCTAATGCGGCTATTGTTTGGAGACGTTTGCCCAGAGAGTCTTGTGGCAAGTACACTCAGCGCTAGCAGAGCTACCAGATGTAATCTTCAAAAGTCAACTCTTTTGCATTGACTGCATCTTCACTCCCAGCGGTGCATTGAGCAGAGCAGAGCTTTTCAGAGCCCAAAAATGCGATTTGGGCAGCCACAACCGGTGCCTTTCAGGCAGTTTTCACTACCCTGAAAAAATGCTCAAAAAAGAGAGAGTTCAAACCAACATGTTAGACTCCGTCGGACGTTTGGACCATATTCCAGAGCCAGGACTTCACACAGTCGCTGTGATGGCCAGGTTGTGCGATTTTTATATGAACGTGTTCTTTTCTCTTTCATGATCACTGGACTGAGTGTCGAACCGAGTCATATCCATCATATCCACTATATCGACACCCTGGGGATGGAGGTACTTCTCGCATGGAGGTGAAGTCGACCGTGTGCTTCGCTGGACGACTCGTACATCAGGTCATGCTGGACATCGCCGTGGAGAATCTCCTCTTCATGAAGTTGGGTCGATTGGCATAGAATCTAAGGTTTTCTACCACCAAGCTGCCATCAACGGGCCAAGAGGAATAATTGTTCCGGTTCCTGAAAAAGCCAAATGGACCAAGTGGACAGAAGGGAAGGGACAAGTGTTGACGTCCTTGCTCCGTTCGTAGCGATGCCCTTGTTGTTGCTAATAGCGATGCCAGAAGCTACTAGCAGCTCCTTGCTCTTATAACAGCAATGCCCTTTATAATTGGGGAATCGGATCAAGACGGCACCACCACGGCTTGGCAAAGAAGATGGTCAGTGGTCAGTGGACAAAAAAGGGACCTGCCTTTTTGGCTGACATGGTCGGCTCCGCCGTGTCCAACGCGAATTGTTCCGCGAGTTCGCAAAGGGTGTTCCACAATGAACTGAGAGAGAGAGAGAGAGCGAGAGCGAGACGACATAGCTACATGCTACTACGCTACGTACTGACTGAGAGACATTATAGATATACTATACAGTTTGTATATTATGTATTATGTAGCATTATGTAGCTAAGTCATTGATGAGAGAGAGAGAGAGTACTTCATCATGGTTTGGGATATTGGATCAGTTGTGCTCCCAGTGATGCGATTACCCGAAACCATCATCAAGTACCCGAAGTGACTCTCACAGGAGCTGACCGAAGAATCTATGTTTCAGAAAGAAAGCACGGGAAAAGGGTCGATGGGCGGCCTTCGTTGAGTCCTTGTTATGTTCATATATATATATATATATGTGCTGCATTTTACATAATTATTCCTTTAGAACGAATCATTTATTATAGTATTCAGGTGCTTTCCTCCCATATTTTCTTCATTGCATTGCCAAGCATCCAGCGCCAGGTCAGTTCTGGCTCTTTTGGCTCATCACGGGCTTCGGCTGGTGGATTGCGGCCTTCCCCTGCTGCTTTTGCGTCTTCCTCTTCGTGGCCAAGGTGCTCCGCAAACCACGTCGGTACCTTTGTGCTTTGGCCAGCCTGTTCAAAGCTCCGAGTCGGTTGTGGATGTCAAATCTCGGGAGGTGCCCGGCGTCCTTGCGGTTGAGGTGTCATTCATCCTGTGAGGTTGGCTAAAATGGTATACTGTAGACTCTTAGATTAATAAGACCTCCTGATAAAGAGGATGTCCAATTCAACTGGCTGGGTTTATTAATCAAGAGACTATAGCCTATAGCAGTATTTAGGAGAATGGAGTGATTTGGTTACTTTGTGCTTTGTACGGGCCTCGGCCTGGCTGATAGGTCTAAGAGGGAATGTTGAACGAGTTGGACAAGCGTTTCCCGAGACCGGACGGACGGGAGGATGATACTGCAAGTGACACCACTTCTTGGTGTAGTTGCTTGGCGTTTTCACCCGATTTCACCAAACCTTTTGACACAAATCCCAGCTTTCACTGTATTTTGTGGAGTCTTTTTCCGTCCCCGCTTTGGGGGCGCGAACCGCTTCCATCAGACGTCCGAACAAAAGCCAATCAGACGAAGTTGGTGAGCTGAGGCTGCGATTTGCTCACCAACTTCTTGGTGATTTTGGGACTGCTCCCGGCCTTTGTGACTCGACTCGGCCTTTGGGACCTACAACCGGACCGTGCCCGGAAGACGTGAGCTCATCGCAGGACTGGACGACTGGACCGGTTTTCCAGCACGTGGGACGGACGTCGCGTATGCTCACGTGTTCCAGGACATTCCAGGACCTCACAGCTGAGGGGAGGTTCAAAAAGCTCAGCTGTGCTGGGTGACACCTCCGGTGCTTGGAAGAGCCGGAGGTCGACGACGGGCAAGTCAACGAGATGAAACCTAAAGGATTCAGAAATGGGGAGAACATGACAAATTGAAAACCTGGTTTTCATAGCTGGTCAAATGTCAAACGTCCAAGCTTGTGACGGCACCTGTTTGTGATAGTGGAAATCTCTTTGTATCCCTGTGTTGATCACCTCTCGAATTCATTGGGAATTTGAGGAGGTGGAAAAAAGAACACGGACCATCAAGAGTTCGACATTGCCCAGACAAAAACGACTTAGTTAAACTTCTGGACACTTCCTAATGTTGGGAAAAGGAATCAATGATCAGAACTCTCCCAGCACAAACCAACGATGAAGGCAGGTGGGCCAGACCTAGGGTGAAGAATGAGGTGTATGTTCACGGAGAGAATGTTCACTAGTGCACGACCGCACGACGTGGGCACGCAGAGACCTGAAGTGGAGTGAAAATCATCTGTTTGGGATTCGGAATGGCAAGTCATCCAAGAGACAATTTTATCCTTCAATATATAGCATCGTGGCACCCAAAAGGACCTACTGGCATGCTTGAAAGAAAAAGGGAAGACAAGAAAAGACCATGAAAGAAAAGAAACAGGATATGAAAAAGATAAAAATAAAACAAATCGAGATAAACAAACAATAAGAGAAATAAGATAAGATACATGAAGATAAGTGAACATAAAATAAGAGAAAATAAAATAAGAGAAAAGAACATAAAAGAAAATAACACAAGAGAAAGTAACATATAATATAATAAGAGAAAGGAACATACGAGAAAGGAACATATGATGAAACAAATATGAGAAAGGCAAAACAGATAAAATAAACAACTACAGTACTTAAATATGTTTTATAGTTTGTTAAGAATGTCCTACAAGGGTGTCCTACAAGAGTGTCGACTTTGCCTCACAAGAGTGTTGTCCCAGAAAGAGAAAAGACAGAGAAGGAGAAAGAGACTGCTTTTGGGCAATCAGACTATGTCAGCAACCATCAATTGAGTTCTTGGTAGATAGACATGACATTGAAATGACATTTCGATACCACCAGGAATCGAAGTCCTCGCTGACGTGGTTGACATGTTGCCATGATTCTTTTGCCAGCACTATCATGCCAGAATCTCGTGCTTTTCGTTGCAGGTCTTGATCTTCGGATTTGAAGTGCTCATCTTCTTGTTCCTCAGCAACGTGGGTGTTGAGGATGTTTCTGGTGACCCTCGTTTCGGTGTGGCCAGGCAACGGCGAGCAACGGGTCTAAAGTTGCCCCTGCTACGCACCCGTTGAAGCAGAGGAATTTGTTTTTTGGGAGGGCCTGTAGTATGGGTCAAACAGTTGGATATTCATTGAAGCACAAATTCGAGAATAGTGGAAATATCTCAGCAACATAGCCCCAGATGGGTCTTATATCATAAATAAATGTTGCACCAGATTGACTTGATTTGTTCAGGAGGCTGGGGGAGGAGGACCTGAACTGAAAGGACCAACGCGAAACACAGACCAGTCGGTCATGAAATGGAAGCGGGAGATGGATTTGGGGGGAAGAAATGCGTTTCACCGGACGGCCTTTTGAGGGTCAAATGCTACTGCTACGCCTACGCAATTGGAATCCTCGTCTTTGCCACTCCATCGCTATTACGTTGGAGGCCATCGCTATTAGGTTGGAGGCCATTGCAATTGGAATCCTTGTCCTTACCACTCCCCCAAACTCTGGTGCTTTGGAGATCCATTTGCACCACCGGCTGTCCACCTTGGACCGATCGGTGCGGAAGCCAACGTCACCCCGAACCACGTAGAACGTGAGGACATGTAGAATGATGGTTGTTCTCACGTTGATTGCTCAATCCATTCGTTGTTGGAATCAGCGAGTTTCGCCCTTGTTTTTGCCTTAAGGTTCTTTCCTTTTGAAGCACAGGAGTGGGTACTGGCTGCAGCCTCTTGGACAGCCGTTTGGAGCCAGCGCGGATGTGTTTGCATTGCAAAGATCTGGCTATAGCATTTATGGAGTTTCCCTGTTGAAACCATGGTTTTCGCGGAAGATCAACCAACACTGGACCAAGTCGACTTGGCCACGACGGGTTGACACCGTCTCGACGGTCACTCAGAGGTTGTTCATGCCACTTCGATCCATCGAGTCCATCAGATCCCCATCAGATCCGTTCGGACCGTTTTTCCTTTGTACGTCGTGTTGTACCGTATTTGCGCTCATAAGGATTAGTCGATGATGAGACTGATGTTCCCAGTCTTTGGCTTGTAAGACTGACAGTCTTTGCTCAGGGGTCAATGCTGCATCCAAGTTGAATCCAAAGTTTCTTTGGTGGAAGGGATGGTCAACGAAAGAAGTGGCCTTCAGGTATTTTTTGAGAGTCTTCCTGTAGGTTGTCCGGTAAATTGCCGCCTCCAAATATGTAAAGAGACTCCAGCAGAAGGAGTCTGAAGGAGTCTCACTAATAGCTATCGACTCATACTGTATACTGTATACTAGCTTTTTCTGGTTTTGAGAGTCCTGCAGTATGCCACTTCCAACGAACTTGGTCCAAGAAAATCAAATTCGTCATCCTCAGATGTTGTTTTCTTACAACAAGGCCATGACTGGAATTCCAGGTGTGCACGGTGTGCGCATCTGAAATAGCCGCTTCCCGCCACATCTTCAGCCCACGCGGCTTCAGCCACCTGACGCGTCCGTCTTCTCCAGGCACCTTCAGGCTGACGCGTCCCCGTCTTGTCAGGTCTCCAGCTGCTTTCACGGCCTTCTGGCGGCTCTGGTCTGGAACGCTCCACGAATCTGCCGCCGGAAGGCCGAGGAGACGGGGGCGGGGCGTTAGGAGACGACCGGCCATGAAAAAAATGGGGGGTGAGGACGGTGAGGATGAAGTCTTTCCATGATCCATGATCCATCGATTTCGAGCATATTTTGGGTTGTACATGGTTGTACCCTTTGTTGATGTTGTTTGGGATGATTCCATCTAATTACTCAAGTTGGATTATATGGGGTACATTAGAGTATAGTCTTGCGCCACCTCTGAGATGTCATGAGAGGTCACACGGTACAGGACTTCATATACAGTGGTTTCACAGTAGAGATGGCACAAACCTAAATTGATATCTTAGACAGATGGGAGTCCATATAAACCACCGACCTGGGGGTCCCTTGTGCCATCTACTCTTACACCACTGTAAGTGAGTTGATCACACAAGCACCTCGCTTTTTGACCTGCGGCGCGCGGCCAGACACCACTTGGACGGTTTGTGCTTTCGAAGCCAACGATTTTGGGATTGACTACACGACTTTAGGCATTGCATTCTTTTGGCGCCGTGGTGTGATAAGTTTCTGGAGGCCAACTGGAGCACTTAGGTGTTCCCCGATAGCTGAAAGCCAATAGGCTTCTTGCACTACATGTTCTTGCCAGATCCAACAATTTGGATCCTTCCTTGTGCTGCCAGCTGTGACTCCGGGTAGTTGGTCTCCTTACTCGCTAGTGGCCCGCTGCCATGCCAGTCTTGCTGCCTTTAAGGTCGACAAGGGCTGTACTACACATCAGCATCATTCGACTTGACTTTGGGCTATGCTCCTTCTATTCTGCTTTCATGACAGGTCCGAAGGCAGTTTGCCTCCCGGTTCCAGTGATAAGAGAGGTAGATAACCCAACTTTCCAGTGTATTACTATATAGTACGTTTGTTGAAAGTTGAAAGCTAAGAACCCTTTACAAGCCAAGGATTGTTGTAGGAATTCATCATCAGTTTGGTCCCTCAGGAGCCTACCGTCGATGCCGCTCACAGCTTCCCCCAACAACTAGATCTTCAATGAGGCATCTGCTTGGTGCGAGTCGGAGGTGGGTTGGGGAGGAGTTGTTTGAGGTTTAGTCCAGGTTTGTCGCTGTTTGCCATGTACTGTAAATGTCAGTTCTTGTCATTGTTCCAACTGGGATTCATTATATAAATAGAAAGAGGCCACCCAGGTGGGACCCATGCTAAAGGTGCCCGGCATGTTTGAAAGCTTAGACATACCATGACATACCCACTTGTTGTCCAAATCCGGCACCAAGTGTATCCGTTCGGTGCTAGCCGATCATCTCCCTTCAGGCCGTGCTACGAGCTGCGCCAGCTCAGGACGACCTGAGCTGCGGCATTTTGCTTGACGAACAACTCGGATGGCCTTGGCAAAATAACCTTCGTGTGTTTCTTTCATCCATGGGGCTCACCCTCCGAGTTGTTCGAAGATGGTTGGTCTTGATGTTCGCTGCCGAAATTGCACTGTGGTGTCTAAGGCACGGCACAGTTTGGAGACGAAGAGCGTCGCGCTCCCGTCGATCTGCTTGTACTTCGACTACAGCTCCGCACGGGGTGTTGCGACAAGAACCGCTGCGGGGGGCTGATATCAGATGCCAACTGGACGAGCGCGGACAAGACTCCAGTTGTGAGGTTTCCCAACACCTAGAATCTGGGGGGGTGCCTTATGGTGGAAACGCTCTTGGAAACAGCTGTGCAATTGAGAACCTTTGACCCCATACACTTACAAGGGCTCTAGATTTCTGCGAGTTATGGTGCTTCTCAGAGCTGTGTGTCAAAAGGCAAGAGGACAGGTCTGTCATAGCCTGTCATACCCTCCAAGCATGTCATCTCTTTGGACAATGCTCCTTGGTTGGTGACTTTGTTTCGCTTCAATCCCTTACTTCTATCGAGCTTCGAGAGCGAGCTCGCCGCGAGAGCGCGGTTGCGCGGTTGTCATCTTGAGGGTGTTGTCATCCAGAAGGGGTTGACTTAAGCGTTGATTTTGTTGCAGATCCGGCGGTTGATTTTCTGGGAGGGTAAGATACAAAATTAAGAGGAGATGCCTGGAAAGCATTCAACAAATAAATCCTTCTAAATCGAAACTTCTTGGAAGGCTTGGGCAAAGGTCTTCTTACAAAGATCCTCGAACCAGAGACTCAGGGCATTGAAAAGGGAAGGCCCCCGCAGCGAAGACCGTTTAGCGTGGGTCTTTTTCCCCGCGGTTTTTCCTCTCTGCATATTTTCATTGTATGGAAATCTGCAGATGATACAGATAGCAAACACTTTACGAGCTGGATGAATCGAAATAAATTTGATTCTTTTGTTTTCGATCCTACACGAATCGAATACGACGAAATATATAAAAATAAACTATATAACATATATATAAATAGTTAATATATATATATATTAAATCATTTAATTATGTGTATTCGAATATAAAAAAAAACATTGATTTATTAATTATTTTTATAAATAATAATATGATTATATTATATATGTATATTTCTATTGGATAAAAAATAAATATATTTAATATATAAATTATAAAATATATTCTAATATTTTTTGTTATAATTATATATTTATATAAATTGATTAATATAATTCGGAAATAAATATATATAATTATATATTATTTAATAAATATTTATTTTATTATTTTTTTAAAATTAGTATGTATTTGAATATTTAAATATATAGATATATTTATTTAATTAAAATATAAATGTATAATTTATTAATTAATACATATATGTTTTATTTAATATTTATATATAATGATTAATATTGTTTCGAATTATATATATAATTATTTGATATTTATATATATTTTATATTTTATAGAATTATAATAAAAAAGAATAATATATTAAATATATAAATTCTTTAGAAAGAATGATATATTTAAATTCCGACAATAAATTAAATATTATATTTATTTTAAAAGATATATATATAATATATTATATTTATTAAGAATTTTAAAAAAATATTATTTTAATTTCGAATTACGGTAGCCATTTCCTTAGAAATTTTCTCACTAATTTCTTTGTTTTGTGCTTTGGATTATTTGGCCTTTACTCTATTATTTTCATTTGGTTGCATTTTTTTTTGGTTCTAAATTTAGGGCCTATGGATGTTAATGTTCCGTTTTGTATATCGAGCGGAACCATGGGTGGCGTGAGGGTTATTCGGGACTCCTTAATTCCGGATGAGAATGGAGCTATTTCCTTCTCTTAACAGTAGTGTTTTTCCACGAAGCCTTTAGAGGTATGGGCCCGAGGAGGCTACGGCCTTGTCGTCTCTCGACCGTCCATCGTTTAGATTAAAAGATCCTACAAGAGAGCCTGTTTCCGAGCCTTGCAAAATGGCTACATGCCTTACCGGAAAGGTTATCTTTTTGATATTGATGTGCCTTGGCGACTTCGTGAAACCTATAGACGCCACTTATAAGAAAAGTAGATATAACGGACGCCACAAACGACTCCTGGCATTCGATGCATGACCTGGAACGCATCGAAAAACTTGGTATATGACGAGCTTGTAGGAAATTGGTTGGAACTTCAACCCCTTCTGGACGTCCTAGGGGTGGCATTGTATCCACTTCTCGACGAAGCATGCAACCATTCTGGTGCTCATCCGTAGTACCCTGGCAAGACCTGAACAGATAGCCTCGGCCTCTCACTCAGATGGCCGACTCCTACAGATCCGCCTCTTTTTGGACTGCACATATAATTTCATCGTTGTATATTAACATGCCTGGAATGCTACCAAAGGCAGAGATCAGCTTCTAGAAAATCGTGCCAAGATTTGGAATAGTTTGCAGCAGCTTTTGAATCACGTTCCGCAGCAGCACCAGATGGTATTGATGGGTGACTTTAACACCACCCTCAAGTTCGATCCGCCTCACATCAATAGCCATGATGCACGTGCATCCTCAAGCACTCACACAGATCGTGACCTTCTTCAGCAATTGTTGAAAGCACAGGACCTGATTGCCTTGCGTTGCAAACAGCAGTATGCATCGACCTTCGAACATGGCCCACATCATTCTCGTATTGATTATGTTTTTGTTCGACAACATCAGGTTCAATTTCGCCGTATGCAACCCACCATGGATAGGAGTTTTATGCGCAACTTTGGTTGTTACGGACCTCATCATCATCCATTATTCTTTGTCCTGCCCAGGTGGTTTGCGCCTCGGAAACCGGTGCTTCCACTTAACAACATTGATAGATTTGCCATTCGTACGGCTAGACTTGAGCACACTGCTCACTGGCAGCAATTCGAGGTTCAGATTCGTCAGTGCATTGCCAGATACTCTCCACCTCACCAATCGCATGAGGTCTCCATGTTCGCTTTGGAACAGGAACTCAGAACTATATGTTCTCTTTTCTTTCCCAAACGGAAACCACGGGTCCCTCAAGGACCGCATATTCCCTCCATGGCTGCCAGGATGTGGAATGCCCGCAAACAGGCTCTGGCCGTGCGGGGACGCAACATTCGCGATCTCTTTGAGTGTTGGGCTCATATCACCACCTTCAGAACCATGGCCAACATTGGAGGCGGTCGAGGTAGATGCATTTTTGTGACAGTGAATGCCGTGATACAAGAGCACATGAATGTGGTGTCCTCTTTCAGATTTCGATCATGATGGGACACACCTTTCAACCAGAACACTTCCCCATCATGCCTGTCATGCAGAAAGCCTCCAGGACAGCCATAACTGAACCTAGCTCCATCTCCATTGCACCGCCGACACCGGCCCCGCCAGGCTCACTTGCGGCTGCTTCAGCCGTGCAGACAAGGCCTGATCCGATTACCCCTCGTGCCATAGAGGTTGATGAGTCTCATGCATCCACCACACCACTGCATGCCTGTCCTCACTGTCACACTCGATTCCTGATAGCAACAGGCCTTGAAAGACACTTGTCAACCCATGGACATGAAGTTCAGGCAGATGGACAGCTTGTTCGTGCCGCCAAGATTCCGAAACTAGATACAATTCCGATTATGCTGAACAAACCATGTCAGCCAATCGAGGCCCCTTCGAAATCCTTTCCATGCCCATTGTGTTTGGAAACGGTCGGCCGCAAAGCCTTAGCCAATCATTTGTCCAAAGAGCATCAGGTTGTGAAACCACCTTTCTTTGTCTTTCGACCTAGCCGAAACATGACACCGGGACGTTTGGCTTGTGCACATTGCCACACTACCTACATGTCAGAAGCTGCCCTTCGTTTGCATTACCAGAGAGCCAGCTGCCCCATTTTGTTGATTGAATGGATTAAAGATCAACACTTTGGACCAACTGTGAAGATGTCTGATCCGCCTGAGGCACATGAACCTTCGGACCCAGAGCATTTGCGTTCGACCAGCTACTCTACCTCAGGGAGGCCTGTCCTGGTCGTCAGTGCCCTGTGCATGCCGGATGACATACCTGCATACCCCAGTGATCTGTCTTGGCCATTGTTGACCACACCACCCATGACCTCTGCCAACGTTCTGTATTGCCACGTTCCTTTTTGGCCGGAGCTTCGACTTAGATGGTTTCATGCCTTTGTCCATTGGATGGCTCACTTGTCCGACCTTCCGCATCTCGACCTTGAGGTCTCACTGCATCACCTCTGGACCTTTGCACGATGGTGGTTCCGTGCCATTGGGCTTGGGACTCAGAGGATCAGGAACTCCTGCCATTTGCTAACATTGCTTTCCATTCGACCGCCTGGATTCAGCACTTTCATTTTCACAGCCTGTTGTATGAACTAGAACACGTGCTGGCCCAAGACTGATTCCATCGGTGTCTTGCTTTTGGCCTCCAAGATGGAACGTATGAGCGGAGACGATCAGTCTTTTGCAGAGCTGATGGATGTTTGTGGAAGTCACTTTGCAAAACGTCCCAGAATGGAGGAGGAGGACAGGTCATCAGACCGCCGACCTGCACGCAAGGGACAGAGGAAGCCTTCGCGCTCATCGGCTTCGGACTTGGGAGAAGATGGCAGCTTGGTCTCCATGCTAGCGAAGTTGACACTACGTCAAGAGGACCAATGGAACCAGATCCATCTCGACAAGAGCTTCATCTTCTTTGTCCAAGCAGGAAAAGGCAGCATTTTGCCATTAATGCTGAAGACATCAAAAGACTGGCATGGGCAACGGGAGTCGGGGCAAGTCACCACCTCACTGCGGCAACATATGTTTCGCTCTGTGCTCGAGGAACTAGCCTTCCGAGCATCGAAATTGCCCTTCGGATCAAACGATTACGAATTGATCCGGATCCTTCAGAACAAGCAAGTATTGACGGCAACCAACTCATGGAACTACCTTCAATGGGACTCCAAAGAGAAGATTTTGAAGCCAACAGCCCGAGATCCCCTCCCCTCAGAGGAAGCCGCAGCCTTGATCCAGAAGATTCATTCTCTGGCAGCTCAAGCGGACCTGATCCACCAGTTCTCAGCTTTGAAGCCCATGCCTCAGGATTCCACGGTGACGGACTCAGTGGTTGTGCCTTGGAGATTGGACATCTCCCTGATGGGCCAAGCGGCTCAAGATCTCTACGCTGCCCTTCAGCAATTGACCGGCAGCGGGCTTACGCAGCTGATCTTTGTTCGAAGCCGACCATCGACCTTGCAGAGGTCACCATTGGCTCAGGCCATTGCAGTTCGCTTGACGAAATGAGGAAAGCCATCTTGGCACTTTCTTTGGGGAACGGTTCCAACATCTGCTACATGAATGCAGCATTGTTGGCTGAGCTATGGGCCTGCTGCATGAATGACA